CCTTTGTCCACTCTATGTTGCTGAGGTTGAGGACGGTTTTCTTTTTGTGAGAAGACTGAGGCAAAGAAGGCATTAAGTCTTTTCCCTATCCCCTGTCAGCATTACCCCATCTTCTCTTCGCAAGGGCCCTATCGCCTCCTTGTTCTTCCTTTTTCTGTGACTTAAGCAAAYAAGCCCTTTTATTGTTTTAAAATCAGACAATGTGATTTTCTGGATGTGTTTTCTCATGTTGTCTCTCATAGTTGAGGTCTACCTATGATGTCAGTTACAGGCCTCTCTCATATTTTTAAGTGGGAGAACTTGTACACTTGGTATCTGACTAAATACTCCCCCCCCCCCACTGTAAGCTGAAGGGCAGCAGAGCCACGGTCCAGAGCAAGAATACAACATCGTCTGCTACCCAGAGCCTCTCCACAGAGGGCTTTTTATTTTGAGGTCTACGCTGGTGCTCTTTTCATCATTGCTATTTTCTGAGGCCTGTAATACCTTCCTTGTTCCAAAGGAAGGAGATATAATTAACCCTTCCCAAACTTGCTCAGAATATTGGGGAGTGTCTTCAGTAGTAGCTGATCTAGTCCAGACAGAATATTGGCCATGATAATTGTATTTTACTTGTAATCTGACTTTCTCATCATCCACTAGTCTCTCTTCTGGTTACTTCCTGCAGTGATTGACAACCTGGTAGGTCTGATTTGTTATTTAACCTTGACTTGTGTTCTGACAGTGTCCATTCTTTAGCTTTCTGTTAGCTTTCTGATTTCTGTCCCATGCATTGGTTTGAACAGAATTTCTGGATTTCTGTCTCGATGCTCCCATAGGACTGTTGGTCACCTCTGGCAAGAGACCAGGATAGACTCTAAGGAATCAAATTTGGCTTAAAGAGAACAAGCCCATATCTGCCATTTCTGTCCAACAGTCAGAGTCAACACACCTATTGTCCATTTGGAATCCAACTATGTCTATTATATGTTAAACACGGGAATTTATATTATATTTTCACGTGTCCACCCCTATTCTGTCTGAAGAGTCAAGAAGATCTTTCAAAAAAGCATGCATGGTCAGGTTAGGAGCTACAGAGGAATCTGCAAATATGGGAGATTTTATAGTAGAGAGCTAGATGCATTTAGCTCTCACAGAAGGTTTCTTTTTTTTTCTTTTTTTAGCTCTCAGACGTGAACTTTAGTTCAAAAAGCAGGGAGTCCATCTCTATTCATTTTCTTGTATAGGGAGTTGCATAATAGTTGCTGGACTCCACTGCTTAATTCTATTTTGGATGCATCCCCATTACTTATATATGCTGACCTCTTTGAAGATGAAGTCCAAATGTCACTTTCAGGTTTGGATTGTAACTGGATGAAGTATAGGGGAAGGTATTATTTCAGAAAGGAAAGGGAAACAGGCAGTTTCAGGGAGCTGAATGCAGAATATTAATATTTTTATATGTTATGATTTGTAATATGACTTCTGGGGCATTAAATGCAAATAGTAATTGTCTTTATATAAACTATGGTTTATAAAAATATCTCTAGGGTGTTGAGTGTAGGCTATTAATTTTTTTTATTTTAGCTGTGGTTTATAATATGACTTTTAGGGCATTGAGTGCAGAGTATTAATTATTTTATATATGCTATGGTTTATAATATGATTTTTGTATTGTTCCTTAACACACACACTCCCTATATATGTATAAAGATAGACAGATAGATAGACTCTTCTTTCTAACAAAATTCTTTTTTCTGTTTGACTTTTGTACAATAAAATGTATACATTTAAAAACCATTGGATAAAATTATAGTACAACAACTTGAGGTGGTTGTGGTAGTATCTTACTGAAGCCTATAATTTGGACTGGGCAGCATAAATAGCACTTTCCCCATAGCCATTTATAAGCTCAGGACTAGTTCAAAATCTGTTGTACTTTTCTGAGGGGTGCAGCAGTCTTATTTAGTCAAATTATCCCATCAGCACCACTGTGTTTTCACAAATGCCACGGGTATCCTCAGGAAGGAAAGCGGTGGCAATCAATACAGTGAATGTTTTTTAGGGATTTGTTGATTGATTAATGTGTTTTGAGTTTAACTTCAGATGCCACATCACCTACAGCTGACTAAGATGGAGTTGCCTGTTATGGCTAACTGTAGGCAAATTACAGATGTAGTTTGCCAGCACAAGCGATTTCATGCAGATTTTTAGTTTAACAACCACTGCCACGCAGAAGTAGACATTTTCCACACTGTGTGCCACTTACCGATAATTGCTGTGGGAATAGTTAAACCAGATCAGACCCATTTGTTTTGAATTATTATTATTTTTGAAGGAACCACTTTGGTATTCTGAAGTCTTTGTGATATATATGCTGTCTCTACCCCCCCCCCCCCCCCCCCCCCCCCCCCCCCCCCCCAAACTCCTGGCTGCCCAAATCCCCTTGAAAACAGCTCTGCGTAAGGTAGTTACTCTGTTAAGCTGTGCTTCTGTCAGCAAGCTGAGCGCTGCGGGTCTCTGACATGGCACTCAATTGCTAGCAGGTTTCTCTCATTGCACCTCATTTGCATCTGGGACATCAATTAGCATGTTTGTTGAGACTAATTGAATGAAACTCAATCATAGCTCTTAATTGCTTGACTATGTGAAAAGAAATCACATTAATGCAGCTAATTAAGTGTATGGCAATAGATGCAACATAATTAGGAGTTGAATGTAAAAAACAAGTGATGAGAAAGGTGCGAGAGCCCGTGGGGTTCGGAGGATTCAGATGTTCGGTTACCTTGATATTGACACACTTGGGCAGGGGGCTCTCCTTCCTTGGGTGTTTTTTTGATGTCACAGAATTATGAACATGGCAAACTCAAGAAGCAAAATGTAAATGGATTTGCAATTATTACTTTTTTCTCAAGCTGTTGAGGGGCAGAAACCTAGCACTTCTGGGGTGGGCCACTGTTGAGTGGGCTCTGGGGACTTGTTAAGTGCTGTTTAAAAGTACTTGGCTTTGAATTACCCTCATGTCTTGTTAAATCTCTCTGCCCCCCCCCCCCCAAGCCATTTTATGCGATCAGCATTTTCTACAACCAACATTGAAGGGAGTTTTCTTTGTAACACTTGCATATTAAAATCAGGCTTGCTGTCTTTTCTTTAACTTAGCATGTTCCAGATGTCAGGGTCAGCTTTGTCTTTCTCTGATGTGATTATACCATAAGTCCTCGCTTGAAACAGATGCTTTTGTTTTGCTTAGTTGTAATGTAAGCTTTTATTTCTCCTGGGCAGCCAGATCTGAAGTGAGCATTTTGAGATGAACGTTTTGAGAAGGAAATGATGCGTTTTGATGTTTTTTCTCTTCTGTGAAACAGTTTCTGATACATACCCAATGTGTACATTGATAGCATCCTAAAATTCAACAGCATCAAAACATTAAGGAATTACTGTCACAAATAAACATCTATTTCTGATGTAAAATTAATGTCATCATATTAGCCAGTGTAAAACCAGCTAAACTCTTTGTTTTGATTCAAACTGAGAGTTAGAGTGCCCCTGCACTGCACAATTAATGCAGTTTGACAGCAGTTTCACTGCCATGGCTCAATGCTATGGAATCATGGGAGTTGTCATTTGGTAAAGCACCAGCACTTTTTGGCAGAGAATGCTTAAGGACTTGTAAAACTTCAATTCCCATGATTCCCTAGCATTGAGCCATGCTAGGTAACGTGGTGTCAAACTAAATAAATTCTACCATGTAGATGCACCCTTAAACACAGAGTACAAACCTTCATGAAAGCTGGATACTTCAAGTCTGGTCTCAGAACTTTCCCTAGTTCAAGCAGTCTTTGACCAATAATCACTTTTTAAAAATCTTACATGCACACAATCAATACACCATGTTATTGTTGTTTTCAAAAGTATCCAAGAATTATATATAAAATCACTGTGTATAATTATATATAATTTCTTTAACACATGCATTTGGGAGAGGAACAGTTTGTCTCTGTGATAACTATAGATATATGAATGTGAGTGTTCCTACTTGGTATTTTGTGAAAGTGGCTTGTACCTATGGTGCAATCTAATTATTTGTAGCTCCAGTTATAATTCTTTCATTTCATACAATTATAAAGCATATTTAATGCCTGTGGAAAAATGGACATAACGATCTTCCTTTCTATCCATATCACTGTGGACAAATCATCTGTATTAAAGGTGGACATACCCATGTATGCCTAGAAGTTTTGTTTTCTTTTGAATGGCTCTTTATTACCATTACTTCTTAATACATTTTCATCGCATTATTTACACTGATTTCAGTTAGGTGCAAATATTCATAAACCTTTTGTACAGACAATTTTAAATCCTATGATTAGTATTTATGCTTATTTTCATTTGGTGCAAGTACATCAAGAACATTCTGTATCCAGCATTCCTAGATATTATTCCTTTCTTTTGTTTGTATCTTACTCTATTACATAGCCTTTATCTTATTAACATTTACTACTAGATTTTTAAGCATGTAGGCATAGAAGTGTTGCCATATACAGTTGAAGCAAAATGGTTAATATCATTTCTAGATAGTATTGAAACATTCCTATATACAAATCTGCTTTTGAATTCATTTATTTATTTTGTATGCTGCTTTTCTCCAAAACGAGATTCAAAAGTAGCTTACAATATAATTTTAATAAGAGTTAAAACAATATAAAGTTTTTTAAAAGTTTAAGCATTAAACTTCAATTAAAACATCAAAATTTCAAACAAAAAGCTTAACATACAAAATGCATATTAAAAGCAGCACACCATATTTATTTTATAAAATAATATGAAATTTATAGATATGAAAGCTCCTTGAAGTTGGAAAGTGTAGAGTTCTTCTCAGAAATACAAGCTTATAGACTCTGTAGTGAAAATAGTGGTGCGTACTTCATAAATGGCAATTAGTCAGATATTGCAGATATAGATATAGATGCATGTATTGTATTTTTAGCCCCAGAGGAACATAATTGTTTTTCTTTGTGCAGGATTATATGCAGAATGTTCATGGGAAAGAAATTGACCTCCTGAGAACCACAGTGAAAGTCCCAGGGAAAAGGCCGCCTCGAGCCACATCAGCGTGTGTACCTATCTCTAGTCCGAAAACAAATGGCTTGTCCAAAGACATGAGCACCTTACATATCTCGCCAAATTCAGGTAAGATGGGTGTTTTTTAAAAAAAAAGAAATGGCTATTATTGTACCATTACTTGCATTTTACATTGTAGGCTTTTTACTTGATATATCCCTATACTCAACATTTCATTGTAATGTAAAGCCATTGTCTTGTGAATAATCATAAGGTTTAAAAAGAAATATTCTGGGCATAATCTGGATTAAAATGTTTCTGCATTAACCTAGTTGTCATTGTGAGAGTTAATCAGCATTTCTGTACATAATACCATGAGAGTGAGTCCCATAAGCATGCATAATGTTGCACTGTAAAGCAGACACAGTTAGAATTGCCCTGTACTCTTAACAGGAAATGAAGTCCTGTTGAACCTGATATGAGTTATGACTTCTGAAAAAAATGTTCACATGACAGAGTTGAAAATCTTTTGTTTAGGCTGTTCCGCTTTAAATGGCAGGGGTAAGCTCATGTAAAGGTTCCTTTAAATCAGGGATCCTCAAACTCTAAGGCCCGGCGGCCAAATGTGGCCCTCCAAGGTCATTTACCTGGCCCTCGCTTAGGGTCAACCTAAGTCTGAAACGTCTTGAAAGCACACAACAACAACAACAACAACAACAATCCTATCTCATCAGCCAAAAGCAGGCCTACACTTCCCATTGAAATACTAATAAATTTATATTTGTTAAAATTGTTCTTCATTGTAATTATTGTATTGTTTTTAAGTGGCTTTTGCACTACAAATAAGGTATGTGCAGTGTGCATAGGAATTCATTCATGTTTTTTTCAAATTATAATCTGGCCCTCCAACAGTTTGAGGGACTGTGACTTGGCCCTCTGTTTAAAAAGTTTGTGGACCCCTGCTTTAAATATTGGGGAAAGGTTTCTAGGCTATCCTCTTGGGCAACAAATTTTCTATTTCAGTTATTCTTTTTTAAAATAAAGGAGTTTCTCATTATATAAATCCTTATCTTTGGAGTGAAAATAGTGCAGCTCAGAAACAGGTTCCTATGTCAATGGGATCCGGGTCTTGATTAAGCCATCCATTATGTGACAACTGGTATATCGAATTGCTAAAGCAATGATAGAGTGTTCTTTTGAGCAATCCGTGAAAGCTGGGATGGGCAACTGGTGAATTTTCTATTTCTTGAATGTGATTTTCTTGCTTCTGAGCAGGGGGTTGGACTGGATGGCTCACAAGGTATCAAGAGGGAGCAAGCCTATTTCAGGAGGCAGTGAATTCCTTCCATCTATCTTTTCTTTCACATACCTATTTTACTCATCCACACAGTGAAAACCAGGTGTTTCTCAGGGAAGCCTAGAAGTAATTTATTTGTATGTACAAATAATTTTGGGATATGTGGGGAAGCTGACATCTAAAGTAGTACAGATTTGTCGAGTCCGTAAAAATACACTTGAGCACGGGAAGAAACACCTTGGACATTCATCATCATAGGTGATCACTCATGGCTGCGTATGACTGTCCTCCAGATATAGAGTCTTAGCAGTGGATCCACAAGTGACTGTAGAGACCTGTTCTGGATCCGCATGGCCTTTCACATTGATTTCCAAATGGAAGGAGGCCATGGCAAAGATTTTCTTTATTTGCCTTCTCCCTTTCCCCTTCTATTTGTACCTTTTCAGAATCCATAGCACTCTTGTGTCGGGGCTTCCCAGTTAGTGTTTATGCCACATTTTTTAAAGTTTAGCTTTAGGCCCATATTATAATCTCTTTTGTCTGCCGACATTCTGTCTTCCATTCTTGAGTTGAGAATAAAGTAACTGCTTTGAGAGACCATGATTGGAAATTCGGACAATGTGGCCAGTTCAGCTAAGTTGATTGCAGAGAATCCTTGCTTCAGTGCTGGTGGTCTTTGCTTCTTCCAGAACATGGACACTTGTCTGCCTGTCTTCCTAAAAAATTTGCAAGATTTTTCGATTTCACACTGATAAAATCTTTCTAGAACTCAAGAGTGACATTTGTAGATGGTCCATGTTTCTCAGGTGTGCAATAGATTTGGAAGCTTTATAAACAAGCATACTACTTGGATATACTACTTCTTTTGCATTAAACTGTTACTTAAGAATAAAATCCAGACTGGATGCTTTAGAAGTAAAGAACCAGGAAGAAATTGAAGACTTTTTTCCCAAGGCAGATTTAGATTTTTGTAAAGTATTTTGCAAAGGACAGTGTCATGGCAACACAAAAATTAGTGTGATCTTTTGGATTCAACTGTGACACTTGAGATACTTGAGATACATGCCTGCCAAACTGTAGATAGGAGTTGGGTTAGTATGGTGAAAGTTCAAAATGATATGAGTATAATTGGTTCTATTTCAAAGAGAATATATACTAGGAAAATCACTAATGCTGCAGACGCTAATAAAAAGCATTTGGTTTCATACAGTACTTCATGAATTGGAAGAATGCTATTCGCAGCCAGCTTAGGAGAAAACTGATGTATTTCTGGGTCAAATAAGATAGAAGCTTTATTTCCCTGTTTGTCTTTTGTCTGTTCTCAAGAAAATAAACAATTTTGTCATTTGCCAAATACACCCCTAGTTTTAAACAGTAGAACATGTTATGTAGGGAAAACAATTTAAAATTATGGTTAAACTCAGTGAATCTTTCAACCTACTGTGCATTTGCTGTGTAAATGCCAAATCTGTCGTTTGGATATTATGAAAGAGTTAAAAAATAGAGTTCCCAATATCATTATGCCTTCATAAAATCTGTGTTGCAACCAAACCAAAAATGCAGTATAAAAATTCTGGTCACCATTCTTGAAAAAAAAAAACATTTTAAGAGCTGGAAATAATAAATAATTGAGAGTCTGGACCAGCTCACTTGTTGAGAGAGATTGTAATGCAGGTTGAGCACTCCTTATCTTTTTTTTTTTTTAAAGAACTCCAAAATTGTCCACATGGATGACTATGGGTCGTCCTTTGCTTTCTGAAAGTTGGATGCACACAGAGTTTGCTTCATATTCTAAATCATTGGAATATTGCATAAAATTACTTCCAGGCTATGTAAATAAGGTATATATGAAACTTTAGTTTTGTGCTTAGATTTGGGTGCCATTTCCAAGACAACTCATTATATACACATTTGCAAATATAGGTATTCCAAATTGTGAAAAATCCAAAATTCTGGCCCAAAGTAAGCAACTGAAATTTTACTCTGTTCCCCTATACCAGGTATGGGAAACCCAGGCCTGGGGGCTGGATACAACCCCTTGGGCTCTTTTCTCAGGCCTTCCTCTCTCACACCATCTTATCCTTCCTTCTCTCTTTCCTTCCTCCTTCCCTCTCTCTCCCTTACCTCCCGCTTCCTCCATCCTTCCCTTCTACTCTTTTGTAATTCCTTCCCATTTTCTTCCCTCCTTCCTTTCTCTCTCTTTCTCCTTCCCTCCTTCCTTCTTCCTTCCTTCCTTCCCTTTTGTCTTTCCTCCCTCCCTTCCTTCTCTTTTTCCTTCCTCCTTTCCTCCTGGGGGATGCTTAGCTGTGAGAAGGGAAGGTTGAGAAAGGAACATGAGAACCATATTTCAAGATAAAAAAGGGTTTCCCATTGAGGAGCGGGAAAACAGATTTTCTGCTGTTCCAGAGACCAGGGCACAAGGGAGCAAAGGTTTCAAATGACAGGAAAGAGATTTCACTGAAAAGATTAGGAAGAAGTTCCTGGAGAGTGGCATAGGCTGCCTGGGAGTATGTGGAGTCTCCTTCTCTGGAGGTTTTTCTGCAGAGTCTGTCTATAGGGAGTGCTTTGATTGTGCTTTCTTGCATGGCTGGGGGTTGGACTGGAAGGCCCTTGGAGGTCTCTTCCAATTCTAGGATTCTATATTAGGAGTAGGCAATACGGGGTCTAATGAATACACTTTTTCTCTCCTGTCCACCATCTCATCCTGACCAAGGCTAACCCTTGGATCCAAATGTTTCCCATCTTTCCTTCACTTCTGCTTCCAATAGAGATGTGGAAGGAAGGGGAGGAATGGGCAGGGAGGGGGCTTGGGGAGGACCCCCTCCCTCCTGCCCCCCTCCCCCGCACCATCTTGCCATGTGGCCCCCCAAATTAGAAAGTTTGCTCATGCCTGCCCTACACCCTAAAACCTGCCCTACCCTCTGAATGGAGTTTTCTCTCTATCCTTGTATATAAACACTTGGTTCAGTGTAGTAGAAGTCAGACCATAAGGAAAATATCATTATGCTACTGCCCAGAAAGAGCATCAATTTTTTTGTCACAAAGTAAAGGACTTGATCCTATATATTTATCAGAGTATGTGTTTAATACCCTGATCATAAGTATGAAGCATTTAACTTTATAAGTGATATAGTTATCACAGAAAAATTACATGTCTTACCCCTTATCTAGGACCCAGAGATCCAACAGAATCCACCTTTTTTCCCAACATACAATAGACAGATGTGTGTTTATGAAACAAGCCAAATATTTACTTGCTTCAGTCTCTACCCCAAAACAGAACAAAGGAATAGTCACTGTCCAGTATAGCATCCAGATTTATTTATTTATTTATTTATCTATCTATCAATTTTATATACTGCCACTCCCCGAAGGCTTGGAGCTGTTTACAATATACATATGCGATACATTTAAAATCAAAGAAAAATTTCAATAAGCAAGATGGATTTCAGATGATGGATTTCCCTTTCCCAGCAGATGTGCTTGATGCCCCCACTTTCACAGACATATTTGAATGTCTTTAAGTTCTCCATTTTATTTGTTTATTGTTTAAATTGTTTCCCAATTGTGCATGTTTTCTCTGTTATCTGTTACTGTTGCATTATTATTACTGGTCAGTTTTATTATATTTATTATTGTGTTTCAATTTTTGTATGTCATTGTACGTGACTTAATAATTGATGTAACTGTTATTACTTGTTTTAATTCTCTGTTTTTAATGTGTTTTACCAATTGTATGTTTTTAAGGCATCAAATTCTGCCGCTATGTGAAGCCGCTTTGAGTCCCCTTGGGGTCGAGAAGGGCAGGGTACAAATAAATTAAATAAATAAA